ATTATTGTCCAAAGACTTGATATTGATGGACCATTAGGTATTTTGAGATGGGATAAACTATTATTTGAATATATTTTTATAATAATTATTATTTTTTAGATTATGAGCTTATTTCCTTTGTTTCTCTTGTACTAAATACAACTATGGTTGTTTCAATATCCGGTAACATGAATTTAGTTTCGGTCCCCAACTGTAAAAATTTTAAGAACTAAAAAGAGAAGGCTTAATATCATTTTTGGTCCTTATCTTCATCAACTTTGTTCAACGTGAGACTCATTTTTTTCAAATGTTCAATGTAATTCCTAATTTTGTAATTTTTGTTCAATTTGGTTCTTTTCTCTCATGGTGTCTAAATCATCAATGACACAATATTCAGGTCAACCACCAGTGAATGAGTTTTTAGTTTTTATATATATGTGGCAACTTAAGAGGAAATGTAGTATTTAAGAGTGATTTTTATATATATGTGACAACTTAAAAGGAAATATAGTATTCAATCCTTTTCCCATATTAGGGACTGCATTCTATGAGGCATCAAATCAATGAATATGACTGATTTGTTACCATAGGGCTGCAAATTGTAAAAGGAACAAAAAAACCACTTAAGTTATATTATGACAACAAATCAATTGTATTGTATTCTAACAACAAAAGGAGTTAGAGCAAGTCAAAACACATTGATACCAAGTTCCTATTTGTTAAAGAAATTGTATAAAATGGATGATTTTTCATAATACACTTAGGGACAAACTCTATGATAGTAGACTCTCTTATAAGGGACTTACACCTAAAGTTTTTCATGAGCATGTTGCTCATATGAGTGTTTTAATTTTTGAGAAGTCTTTGGTTTGGTAGGAGTTAGTCATTTTTTTCTATTTTTTGTTCAATTTGTTTTCATGTTTACATATATTGTCTTTTGAATATATATGGTTTATTATTCAGAAATTACACTTCATATATTAAGCTTATTATATTGATTTCATTTAAATAAAGTAATGACTAATTGAAAATAGACATGTATAAATCACCTTCACGTAATTTTTATGGTACACATTTCATGATAAATCTGTCATTTGATTTTGTCAGTATTAATGATCATTATCAGTTTTGGTTGCGATGGATGCAATGAAAATTGATTTGGTTCTACATGCAGATATAATCATTAGATGAGATCTTTTGAATATGCTGAAAGCTTATAATGACAATTTTGAACTCATAAAGTTTAAACATTTACAAGGATATATATATATATATATATAAAGGTTTAATCATCTTTATTTTTTATGACCTTTTTCAAATAGGTCTCTCACTTTTTTTTTGTCTCAATTGAATTTCTATTTTTGAAAAATTGAAGTAATTAAGTCATTATCGTTAGTCATGTACTAAAAGCTTTAAAGATTGTGTCACGTGTTAGTTTCTGTTTTTTTTTAATATTTTAAATATTTTTTAATTATTTTTACTTTTTATTTTTTAAATTATTTTTAAAAATAAAAAAATTGTCATGTGTCAAACTAACAGTGTCATGTGACAAAGACAGTGTGAACCGAACCGAACTGAACAAAGTCGAACTGAACCGAACCAAATCGAACCAAGACGAGTCGAGTCCAATTAAGTCGAACTGAACTGAACCAAACCGAACTGAACCGAAACGAACCGAAATAAATGGAACCGAACTAAGCCAACCTAAAACGAGCCGAAGGAGCCGAACCAAGGCGAGCTGAATCGAATCAAACCAAACCGAACTGAGTCGAAGTTAACCGAATCGAACCGAGTCGAGTCGAACCTAGCCGAATGAGCCGAGTCGAGCGGAGTTGAGCCAAATTGAATCAAACTGAACCGAATCCAACCAAACCAAACTAAACTGAACTGAGTCGAGTCGATCTGAACAGAACCGAACCAAACTAAGCCGCTTTAAACCGAACTGAACCAAACGGAATTGAACTGAACCAAACCAAGTCGTGCTGAATTGAACCAAACCAAACTAAGCCGAACCGAATCAAATTGAATTGAGTAGAGTCGAACCAATCCAAACCGAATCGAAACAAACAACCGAATCGAACCATTCTCAGTTGAACCAAGCAAAATGAGTCGAGCCGAGTCGAGCCAAGCCGAATCGAACTGAGCCGAATCGAATTGAACCAAACCAAACTAAGCAAACCGAGTCGAGCCGAACTGAGTCAAGGTGAACCGAACCGAATCGAACAAAACATAATCAAACTGAATTGAAACGAGCCGAGTCGAGCAGAATCGAACTGAACCGAACATAACTAGAATGAACTGAACCAAACTAAACCGAATCAAATTGAACCAACTGAACTGAATCGAATTGAACCAAACTGAATCGAGTCGAATCAAATCGAACCGAACCGATTTGCTAAAAACTATACTTACTATAAAAACTCATATTAAAAGGAAAAACAAACTTGTTTGCTAGTAGAAATTGTAAAACAAAAATTGTTAAAAGAACTACGTTAATTAAAACAAAAATATTCTAAACTATACTATACTAGGCTTAAGAGAGAAATAAGTATGAGTTGGGTATAATCTTAAGTTTCATAAAGGCAGAGCGCAAAAGGGTAATATCAGTTTTAATATACTTCACATTTTATCAATCTGATTTTTCTTTTTCTCACTAACTTAGTGTTGTAAGATGATTTTGGTGTTGGGACAATGATAGAAGACAAGCTGCAAGAACAATGATGACATTCATAGCTCTAAAATCATGCTAAGAGACTCGAGACAAGTTGAAAGAGATATAAGTTCAAGCATACAAAGAAGCTAAAGAGGAGTATCCAAGGGTTAAGAAAGCCCATGAGATGCTTGAGAGCCTACGAGACCCACCATGTCCTACCATCGGGTGTTATCGTCAAGCTCTTTACTGTCGTCTACTATTAAACTTCATTATGTCCTGTCGTGATACTGTTGTCGAGCTCCAGCAGTGGGAAAATGCTTATGTAGGAAAACATTTACATTTGGGGGTTGACCCGATCCTGGTGGAATTGACTTCGTACCATCAGGTCAGTAGCTCTCTGACTTTGACCTCGCTCAACGAGTATATGCTCGTCCAACGAGTTTCCATAATTTTGCAGAACAAAATTCTGTAGATTTATGTCATTTCAACCTTATAAAACAGTCTAACACTAACCCTATATGCCCAAAATAAACAACCATCAAATTAAACACGAATCAATGACTCAATTCACCTCAGATGTAATCTCAATAACATAATATACCAACATTTCAACATTTAATCACTAAAAACGATTCAAAGCCCCTACCTCGACTCAACATGTCATATTTCATCAGCACAAACACCAATACCAACATTTCAATCAATTTTAGGCAACTCAAACATGCAACTCAGATTCTCAACACATCATACACTTAAATAAGGGTAATTTAACCTCCCTTACTTTATAGATGACTAAACCACTCTAGAAAGCCTAAAATAACTCCAAATGCACAAAAAGTTCTATATGTTGTTACGAACCACAAAAGCACGATCAGGGTACACTGTTAGGACCACTAATCATACGAGAGTCTTATAAAAGACTCAAACTTCATATGCAAAACAAAAAGGGCTAACATGTAAAGAAGAAGCAACATACCCAAAAAGAGGAACAAGAAACCATCTTATCGCGAGGATCACTCTAACGGTCTCTGGTCTTCAAACACATGAACAAAGAGCGAGAACTCTTGGAGAGAAGTCAAATAACTCTAGAAAAGGGGTTTTTAGAGAGATAATGTGTTTTAAAATAATGAAACTCGTTCATAATGAAACTATTTATATTAAAACCATTTAATATTAAAAATAATTGAGTTTCATTATTTTTAAACCACTACCGCCTCTAAAATGTCATAGTCTAGGTCTTTACATTCTTCCCAACCAGAAAAAATTGTCCTAAAAAATTCACTCATCAAATAGAAAGAAATGTATGCTTTTTTCATTTTTTCTTATCACAAACACCCAACTTGATCGATATACTATCCCCAACACTTAACTAATTGAAAGCATTGCCTTTACGCTAAATTTTCTAGTGTTTAATAGTGTAGATTGGTCTACTCAATACTCTTAAAACAACTTCTCAACCTCCAAACTTACTCTTGTAAGGATCCTTTTTGTGCCTGATCAAACAATTTGTACCTACCAAACTAAACTCACCTCCCAAATGTCTTCCACTAACTCTTAAAACTTTAGCTAGCCAGACTTCAAACTAAAGCCATCCTGATATCGTTTCACATAATCTTATATCCTCTTTGAAGTACTACACAATTGACTTGATGATATACAACTGTGATCTCTCTCGATTCATTCTTATTCACAACTATTCTGATAATATAATTAACTAAATATAAATATAAATAAACTTAATCTTGTTAAAAATATTTAATAAAATATCAATTTTAATAAAAGTATTTGTAAATATTTATATATAAATTAAATTTTGTTTGAATTTTGGAGATGGACAAAATTGTTTAATTTTTAAAAAAATAAAATTAAATTGAAACAAAATAAAAATATAGTGACCAAATTGAGATTAATGTAATTACATGTGGCCTAACATTAACATGTGACATTGTCATTGTCATGTGACACAATATCAATTTAACACGTGGTAATTAAAATAATAATTAAAAATTAAAAAAAATTGACCTAATTATTTTAATTTTTCAAAAAATAAAAACTGAGAAGAAAACGAATTGAGAAACGTATTTAAAAAAATCACCAAAAATAATATCACGTAGTTAAACATATTATTAACCAATAAAATTTATTAACAATTTGAATAATTTATTTATACATTTTATTAGCTAATTTATTTAAGTGATCAAATTAATTAAATATGACTCACTAAAGTATATATTTCATAAAAGATTTATTGGATAGAGATTATAAATATTATTTTAATTTTTGAGAAATTAAATTTAAATTTTAAAACTTAAGAAAAATAATTAACTTAAGTAAAACAGTTATGATTTCTATAAGTAGTTACTAATCATTAATTATTCATATGTGATTTGCCGTTCTCCTTCCGACTCTTGATCATGTCCACGGGATCCGAACCGTAGGAGGACCCAGCGGTGACTGCAACACCACGTTCGTGCCTTCTGCCTCCACCGCTTTCGGTTTGGGGATCGTCACCTGACTGAACCGCCCGGTTCTCTTCCCGGAACCGCCGGTTTCGCCAAACAGATGCCTTAGAGAGATAGGAATTTTAGAGAATTGAAGAATTAAAAGAGTGTGAAAGGAAAGAAAGTGTGGGAGTAGGATTTGAGTTTAGTTACAATACGATACGAGTACTGTGTAAATTTTACTGATAAAAGAGTTGGAATGATCCGGCACACGGCGTTGGACCCAGATATTACAAACAAAGTATGTGGTGTGCTTGAACCGTTTTTGCTGTCACTGGCAAAGTCTTCGAATCCCTTAACGCTGAGACAATGCAGCCAAATCCACGCAAAGCTCATTCTCTCCCAATGTATTTCACAAACCCACTTAACCAATACTCTCTTGAATATGTATGCTAAATTTGGTCACCTTCGCCATGCCCATATCCTGTTCGACCATATGCCTAATAAGAATGTTGTGACCTGGACAACCTTAATTTCCTCGCATCTCCGAACTGGGTCACTCCCAAAAGCCTTTGAGATGTTCAATCAGATGCGTGAAACGAATGAGAGGCCCAATGAGTACACGTTCTCTGTTCTGCTTCGAGCTTGTGCCACTCCTTCATTGTGGGGAGTGGGTTTGCAGATTCATGGTCTGCTAGTTCGATCTGGGCTTGAGAGAGACAAGTTTGCTGGGAGCTCTATTGTGCATATGTACTTTAACTGTGGCAATAATCTCGAGGGTGCATGTCGTGCTTTTCATGACTTGTTGACGAAAGACCTTGTTGCATGGAATGTTATGATTTCTGGGTTTGCTCATGTTGGTGACTTTAGCATGGTTCATAGGTTGTTTTCTGAGATGTGGGAGGTCCAAGGATTGAAACCCGATGATAGGACTTTTGTTAGCTTACTCAAGTGCTGTTCTTATTTAGAACAGGTAAAGCGAATCCATGGGCTTGCATCTAAGTTTGGTGCCGAAGCTGATGTTGTGGTGGGCAGTGCTATGGTTGACTTGTATGCCAAATGTGGGGATGTAAGTTCTTGCAGGAAAGTCTTTGACTCCATGGAGGAGAAGAATATTTTTGTTTGGAGTTCTATCATTTCAGGCTATACCATGAATGGTAGAGGCGAGGAAGCTGTGCATTTTTTCAAGGACATGTGTAGACAAAGGATTAGACCAGATCAGCATGTGTTTTCGAGTACTTTGAAAGCTTGTGTTGAACTGGAGGACTTTAACACTGGAGTTCAAGTGCATGGCCAAATGATAAAAGCTGGGTATCAAAAGGATTGTTTTGTAGCAAGTGTGTTGTTGACTCTCTATGCCAGTTTTGGTGAACTTGTGGATGTGGACAAGGTGTTTAGAAGAATTATTGATAAAGATATTGTAGCGTGGAACTCGATGATCATGGCTCATGCTCAACCAGGGCGAGGATCTAGTCCCTCTATGAAACTATTACAAGAACTTCGCAGAACCACCTCGTTGCAAATTCAAGCTGCCACCCTAGTTATTGTTCTAAAGTCTTGTGAGAATAAACTAGATTTTCCTGTAGGTAGACATATTCATTCACTTATAGTAAAATCGAGTGTTAGCCATCATACTTTGGTTGGCAATGCATTAGTTCACATGTACTCGGAGTGTGGACAAATTGGTGATGCATTTAAAGCTTTTATTGACATTGTCCAAAAAGATGATGGTTCTTGGAGTTCTATTATTGGAACTTATAAACAAAATGGGCTGGAATCAGAAGCTTTGGAGCTATGCAAAGAGATGTTGGCTGATGGAATCACTTTTACCGTTTATAGCCTTCCATTGTGTATTTCAGCTTGCTCACAACTTTCAACTATACAAGTGGGTAAACAACTCCATGTTTTCTCTATCAAGTCTGGTTACAACCGTCATGTGTATGTTGCAAGTTCCATCATAGATATGTATGCTAAATGTGGAACCATGGAGGAGTCGGAGAAGGTTTTTGGTGAACAGGTAAAGCCGAATGAAGTAATTTATAATGCTGTGATGTGTGGATATGCTCATCATGGAAAGGCACAAGAAGCCATAGAAGTATTTAATAAGTTAGAGAAGAATGGTTTGACTCCCAATCACGTAACTTTCTTAGCTGTGCTATCAGCTTGTAGCCATTCGGGTTATCTGGAAGATACTTTGTATTTCTTTACATTGATGCTTAACAAATACAAAATTAAGCCAGAATCTGAGCATTATGCATGCTTAGTTGATGCCTTTGGCCGGGCAGGAAGGTTAGAGGAAGCTTATCAAATAGTGCAGAAGGATGGAAGTGAATCAGCATGGAGAACATTACTAAGTGCTTGTAGGAATCATAATAACACAGAAATTGGAGAAAAATGTGCAATGAGGATGATAGAATTGAATCCCAGTGATCATGCTTCGTACATTCTTCTCTCAAACATTTACACTGGAGAGGGAAAATGGGAAGAAGCTCTTAAATGTAGGGAGAAAATGGCTAAAATTCGTCTGAAGAAAGACCCAGGCAGTAGTTGGTTGATTTGAGGATCGCTTAGATGTGATTTATACTAACGTAATTACAGTGCAATTTTATTTATTTTTTTTTAAAAAAAGTTAATAAAATAATCTAAATAACTATTTGCTCACATAAATTAATGTATTTTTACATATTGAGCTGATAAATTTTTTTCTGGTTTGACATATGTAATTTTTTTATATTTTTCTTTCCATTTCTAATAATATTTTACATTTTATTTTTCGTCCTAATATATTAATCTCTGATAAATAACGAGTTATTTGTTAAATGATCATATCAGTTATTAATTACGATGGCACTTGTATTTTTTTTTAATTTTGTTTAAAAAAGTTAATTGATATGATGAAAATGATAATTTTTTTAATATATGTTTAACGATAAAACTTACGAAAGGGTGTAAAGATGGGTGATTGATGGGTCGTGCAAGATATTTTTTTCTTCTAAATTCTCCATTTTCTATAGATCTCACCGTTAAATAAGAAATATTAAAAAATATTGAAAGAGAGAAGATATGTAAACATTAACAAAAGCAGAAATAATATTTTTTTGTATCTTGACATTTTCTCTTCCTAACAATAAATTTTACAATACGTATAAGTTCCACTCAATCAAATGCTATGATTAGTAGTAAACAATTCATCACTTTATTCAATCGACATCAAAGATCAAAACGAAGAATAAAAATTCAGGAAAGACCAAAATATAAATTGCTTTATTAAAGACCAAAAGCAGAAAGATGTGTTAATCTTACTCAATTACTAAGATATCACTTAAAAGCATGTCATCACTAAACTGAAGTCAGTTAGTGGTAGAGATTAAGAAAAGTAAAAATTTGATTGAGAACCAGGAAAAAAAATATCATTGAAGTATGGAAAAACATCTTAAGCCTAAAATAATATAGAAGTTGGAAATACACGTGGCTAACCATAGAACTTCTTCCACTATATTGGAATGCAAGACCCACCAACTAATGTGTAGTTTATTTCGTGTAACTGAACACACATCAGACATGTATAAACATGAAACGTTATCAAGTGAAAGGACATTTGATTGTTCTGTTCTGTATTAAGTCAATCTTATGGCAAAATTAAGCGCACTTGTCCAACATACAATATTCATGTCGGTCACAGTTGAAGCAAATTCAAATCATCCAATGCTCATACAAATATTATACAATCGAATTGTTCTAAAATACAAATTGCAGATGAAGATATAGGAACGATACCGCTGTAATTCAGCCCCCCATGGAATTTCCACATTTCCGCATCAATAACAAGTGATAACTTGGTCCAACAAGTGCTCATAAGTGGATATTTGGAATCAAATGAGTATGTCTATGCTTTACCAAAAAAATTCAGAATAATTGATCAATACTTTTCCTAGCCTTGAAGACTTCTTTTTGATTTTGTTCATCTAAAAATTAAGATATGTAAACTTTTTACCTCTATAATTACAAATTTTAATCCCCATCCTCAATTTTTTGGGCGTGTGTATTTTTCACGAGTTCCTTTCTCCTACTGTTCTGACATGAAATGATCAGCTAATTTTTACCTTATTTAGCTATCCAGAGTTAACCCATTATCATCCTCATCTGTAGGATCTTCGGGTGGTGTTGCCTTTGGAAAGAATTCTTCATTGGGGTACATCTGACGAAATAGCTGCGAGAATACCACCACCAAAATAGTAAGCTCAGTTACAGAGCTATGAATTATTAATCAAGGTTTGTAAATTTTATCTTAACGGAATCACTTGTCAAAGCAAATGTACACGTGCATAAATATTTTCTAGTTCATTTCCCTAATTTTCATTGGCAAACAAAAATGACAAGCAACTAGCCCAAAATAAGGTTTGTAGCTAGCTACTTGAGTGACAACAAGAAGAAGCAACAGCGATAATGAGAAAAAATATTTTTTTCAAAATGAAGAATGATCAGACAAACCTCCTCAGCTGCATCTAAAAGGTCATTGTAGTTCAGATTTCCATCCGGTGTAGAAGTAGAGCTGATCAATTCAAAATTACTCTGAAAAGGTGATCACAGTATATCCATAGTCAGAAAATGATGTCCATGTCAATGTTTACTCAGGTTACAATTTTGAAACACATTCATGACAAAATTAAAAAGCACTGCCTAGTTAGTTAACAGTGCTTTTGTTCTTTGAAAAATATAAGATATGTGGTCGTAGGGCCCTAATCCTTACTAGATATAAAAAATAAAAACATTTTAAAAAAATAGACAGGGTTATCAGGGTACAGTCTCCATAATAATAAAAATAAATTAATGAGTGTTACAGTAAAGGAAACAAGTGCACATGCAACAACATGCAGGTAAAAGAAAATACTATTGAAGAAATAAATCTGTGAATATGGATTAGAAGCACACCACAATTAATTTCTGAATATACAATGCACTCCAGAGCACAATCGGTTTAGTATCCTCACTATCACTTTGAACACTTGAAATACTTTCAGTGTTTCCGGATACAGGCAGTGTGAGAAGAGCAATCATGGCTGCTTTTAGTAGATTCTTTCCTTCATCGGCATTATTGCACAAAGTGGAAAAATATAAAATGAAACTGACGAAGAAAACAAAGACATGTCAGTTTAAGTTCAGAAGTTCACACGGGAAATATAAATATAATAACTAGTAGTTGAATATGAATATGGTAACACGGAGCAGAACTTTAAACGTAAATTATGGGAGTAACAGTCACTATCCTGGGGCCAACGAAGAATGTAAAAGATGACTATGGAAGAAGCCTGCGATTTATCAGTAAAAAAATGTTTCTAAATGGAAGCAATTAAATTATAAAAATATTTGTATAATGCTTCTTTATTTTTTAATGCTCTGCAGCTTAATCCCATTGAAGAATAGGCGCAATTTAAAAAAGCCAACCAATAGAAACGTGGAGCCCATGCTTGTTTCTTGGGTCCTTCATTTTCTTAAGAAAAATGCATTTTCCTCTTTTAAGTGTTGGATGCATTCTTTTGATAAAATAAAATGCAAGCTACTTCAAAAGGAATTTTCAAAATTTACTATGAAGATTTTATTGTGGGGGTTTGACAACGAAATCGAGTTTACTCTTTTGTTCAGGCAGAGCTTTGGGGAGGTTCAATCATGGATAGAAGTTAATTAACTCAGATTTTTATATGTAGAATCTGATTTGTTAGAATTTAAGATAAGCAGAAATAAAAGATTATATTTAAAATGAACATTTCAATTTCTATTTGGCAAGAAACTTACGTTCCCTCAGGACAAACAGCAAGATTTGATCCTATCTGAAGAGATTTGATTGATGTCATCTGTTCGGGATACAAAGCTACAGGAGAAAAAAATTAATTTCTTTCTCATATGTTAATATGCCTCTAATTATAAATGCATAGTTTAGATTTCTCTTACATCTAGGAGGATACACCACTGAGCAATTAGATACATCTGGCTTTATTGAACTTCTTGTGATGCATATTCCCCTAGCCACCATTCCTTTAATATCTCTCTGACTCAGCATTTGGAGCCTTTCACATGGAAAATCTCTTGGAGACAAAGACAATGGTGACGGAATAGTGAAGGATGGATCCAGAATCAGTTGTTGGCTATATAAATCTTGACCTGAAGCTAACCTAACACCTTTATAAAGCCCAGTAGCCTGCAATGTCAGTTAAAATATTAAAAAGATGAAATTCCTTTTGCACTTGGCTTCAACCTCATCTTTTCTCACACAAAAAAGTGCTAGATAACAAAAAACTAAGATATATATATATAGTAGCACCTTATCCATAAGCAGCGAAACAACTGGCATTCTTAGAACCTGAATCACAGAAGTATAAAATGTAAATAAGCAGATATGGTCAACAAAACAATAAACAAAAATAATTTTGAAAACATGTAAGCAGATACATACTTAACAAGGTATTTACTTTGCCAATAAAACATCCTAAAACATCCAAATATTAATATCAAGAGAACAAAGATATAGGAGTTTCATCCCAACCCTAAACAAGTAAATCGTTATGACAATAAAGCACACAGATAGTAGTTTCATTAAATGGAATAATATAACAAATATCCTTGTGTAGTAAAATTTGAATCACTTGAGATTAAAAACTGATAACAATATATTCTAAGGGCTTAACAGATCCTCTCATTCTCTTCTATATATATTGAAAAAGCAAGAATACATGGAACACCAAGAGTCTGCACTAGGCCTCTAGGTACAAAACTAGGTACTACTCATTACTGGTCTAACAGACTAGCCTTAATGATGATATAAAATAGTAATTATTCTAACACTCCCCCTCAAGCTGGACAGATTGTATGTACCAAGCTTGGAACAAATAAACTGAATCCGAGGTCCCTTTAATGACTTGGTCAACACATCTGCAAGTTGGTCATTTGATCCAACAAACTCGGTACATATTTCTTTTGACAATAACTTTTCCCGAACAAAATGACAATTTATTTCTATATGTTTAGTTCTCTCGTGAAACACTGGATTTGATGCAATGTGAAGAGCAGCTTGGTTATCACAATACATCTTCATACTCTGGATGTCACATAAGCTAAGCTCTTGAAGGAACTGCTTCACCCATATAAGTTCACATGCTAGTGACGCCATTGCCCTATATTCAGCTTCAGCTGTTGATCAAGCCACTGCAATCTGTTTCTTACTTTTCCATGAGATAATGTTTCCTCCAAGGAAAACACAAATCCAGTAGTAAATCGTCTATCAATAGGAGAACCCACCCAATCGGCATCACAATATCCTGATACCTGAAGGCTTCCTTTTTCTTCATATAACCGCCCTTGCCCGGGAGCCTTTTTCACATACCTTAGAATGCGAATGATAGCATTTCAATGGCCAACACATGGAGCTTGCATGAACTGACTAACCACTCCAACTGCAAAAGATGGATTCGGCCTTGTAATAGTAGATAGATTAGTTTTCCAACTAGCCTCCTATATCTCTCCGAGTCGGAGAATAACTCACCTTCTGCTGTTAATTTTTGATTTGAGTCCATAGGACTGTCAACCGGTCTACAATTAATCATGCCGGTTTCTTGCA